ATTATTATTTGTTATTTATTATTATTATTATTATTATTATTGTTGTTGTTATTATTATTATTATTATTATTATTATTGTTATTATTATTATTGTTAATTATTATTATTATTGTTATCATTATCATTATTATTATTATTATTATTGTTATTGTTATTATTATTACTGTTGCAATAAATTACAAATTTGCTATCATATGATTGAAATCATGAACATTTATCTGATTTTATCACTAACCGAAGATATAAGAACTTACACCATCGCAATAAATCACAAATTTGTGATCGTGTGCTCGAATTCTTAAATCAAATGCATTTCCTTTTTTAAACGGTAACTTTTGCTTTTCCTTTTTTCCCCAATTGTTATTCGAAAATGTATTAAATGCTATCTGAAAATGAATTTATTCATTTTATACATTATGCTTATCATTTATTAATACGTTTACCATATTTAATTACAAAAAATGGAAAAATCATTCAGCAGTTTGTCACAAAATTTTATTATACAAAATTTTATTTTTAATGTTTTTTTTTTGTCTCACATGAAAAAGAAATTATGAAAGTATTTTTGCAAGCTATTTAAAATGTTCCATGAGAATGTTAACATAGTTGTTATCAATTCCGAATAACAAGATAGTGAAAAATTATCATTTCAATAGTAAAATATCAAACCTTTCCCTTATCAAAACGTATGCTAATATGTAATGGAATATCTCCGCCACTGTAATCTGGACTGTCACGATGTAAGCCAATGTCAAATCTATAATAATTAAATCATTCAGGTAAATTTTTCATGTCTTATGGTTATTTATATACTATGGATGTAAATTATTTTAAATCGAAATTTTTAAAAATTGTCAATTTAATCGAATCAGAGTATGACAAACTTTTTTGCATCATCCAATGTTTTCCCTTTCACAATTAATGTTTGGCCAGGTGCAATACGTTCCGTTAATTTGCTTCGATATGGGAGTTTCTGGAAGAAATAAATAAATATATAAATAAATAAATAAGTAAATAAGTGAACAAATCAATAAATTGATAAAAAATAAAATAAATGAATAAATAAAGGAGAATTATAGTGAAAATTCATAACTTTCAATTAAATTTTATAAAATAATTTAACTTTCAGATAAATTGTATAAAATAGTTTTATTAATCATTTTTTTCCTCAATTGGATTTCACACAATAAATTCCCACCTTTTTGTTCGTTAAAAAAAAGGGAAATAATGTGTAAGAAAAAGTTTCAAAATGGTGGAAATGTAATATTCCAATTTTTTTTTCGTTTGTTCAAACTCTGAAATATTAGAAAAACTTAAAAGGACAATAGTTAATAATGCGCTTATGAATTAAAAGGTTATGTAATTATTGTAAGTATACTACAGTATTCTCTGCATTTTGAAAAAAAATTTTTTTTTCTATTTTTTTCCATGAAAAACAAATATACTGATAAAAAATATTCTAAAATGCATAATTTATCATTCCTCATTCAGTACAATTTCAACTTTTTACACATATTGAATAGAAATTTTTAATCAAAATTAATCAGTTTCAAATTTCTCCATGTTACAATTATACATCAATTTCGAATTTCACTTATCATCATTTAACTGGTTAAGCATTAATTTTTAATTTATGTTCTAAGGAAAATTTTTCAGTTACTGGCCACAGAATTAAAATATTTGATAAGCTGTTGGGAAATTTTAATGGAATATCAAAAATGTTGCATTTCATTAATTAATAACAATTAATTCTAATTCATTTTATTTACTCTAAAAGGTAATCAGATATTGTTAAATGGAATTGTTAATTTCATGCAGATTTTTTAGAAAGAAAAAACAAAGTTGAATTTTTAAAAAAAAGTGGAAAAAAAAGGGATGAAAAGCATTACAAACTTCTTTTCACCATCCTGTTCTCCCATTTGTTTGGCAGCAACAACGATAACTTCGTCTTTCAGCAATCACAAATTTATTTGTTTAACTGAAATATATATTTTCTACTTAAATTAGCATTTCAATTTAATTCCAATTTATCGCTTATATCACGGAATTGAAATAATCTAATCATCTAGTCTCTTTTTTTTCTTGAAATTGATTCAAGTCAGAAAATTTTGAAATATTTCCTTTTTTCTTTAAATTAGAAAAAAAACAAATTTCCAGCAATAGTTTAATCAAAATCGAAATGCATTGACTTAAAAATAAATTGATATTACTAATAATTTATTCCGAAAAATTGTTTCTTGCGCTAAATTTGACGGATATTCTACGTCAAGCAAATGTCGCTAAAAAATGACACGATTTTTTTTCGTTTCCTTTTTTTCGATGATTTAGATCTTAAAAAAGAAAAGAAAAACTTTCTGTTTGAAAAATTTTCATACAATAGCGTCACTCAAATGTATATCTCTATTTTCACACTGATTAAAAAAAATTTTTTTTTACCGCATGTTTGTAATTTTGCTTACCGTATCAAAACCCTCTAACACTATTCATTGCAGATGAAAAGATAAAATAAATAAAACGCTAAATGATTTATCACAAAATAAAAAACATTTTAAAATTTGAAAAAAAAAGTAGTATTAATGTTATTTTTTTTTAAATGAACTATTATTTATCACATTCTTTTCCAAAACATTCATATCTAAAGTATGAATTCATTTAGAAGAAAATTTAAATAAAATTTATTTAATAAAATAAGAAAAGAATTAATGGGAGTGTAAAAATGAGAGAAAAAAAAACTTCGATGTTTGATAACTCATCGGAGAATTAAAAAAAAAGAAAAAGCATTTTAATAGTTTTTTAAATTTACAATGCCATAAAATGATATTCCTCTATCACATCATATTTTAGGTCAACAGAGAACTATTAAGCAAGTCAGCTAACATTAGCATTAAGATAAACAAATTTGAAAATATTTGATAAAAAGATTTCCTATCATGAATGAAGAAAGAGAAAATGTTCCCTTTTCTTTTTCTTTCCTCTCTTTTTTTTTGATTTTTGGTAATACTGCAAAGCAAAAAGTGTAACGAAATATTTTTTGGAATCGAAGCTAAAGCAATTTATTTAAAAAAAATATGAGAAAAAAAAAGCACAATAGAGGGAAGATAATAATAGCAATGATAATAATGATTGGTTAAATAGAGAGATTGAAAGATAGCAGTGATACAGTTATCATCGAATTAATGATAATAATGATTGATTAAATAAAGAGATTGAAAGATAGCAGTGATACAGTTATCATCGAATTTGATATCCTTTTACATTACAACCATTATGTATATACATATATCAATTGCAATATTTCCACGCAACATATTTGTCGCTTAATATTTCCACGCAACATATTTGTTGGCGTAATATTTCCACGCGACATATTTGTTGGCGTAATATTTCCACGTAACCTATTTTTCCACGCAACATATTTATTAAAGTAATAATTTGACGCATCACATTCACCAATGTAATATTTCAACGTTTATCGTCTTTATTTAACATGTAAATATTTATGAGAGAATAAGAGATTAAGTTAGTTTAATTCTCGATATTCTCAACTCAAAATTCTTTCTATTGTCAGAGAATGAATGATAACATCAAATGTGATGAAAACAAATAAATGAATTATCTGATCATACTTAACAATGTATTCATTATTAACCATACATTACTAATTAAATGATTACTATTGTTATTGGATATATTATTGAGTGATTCATTAAGTTATAAATAGAAAAAAGAAAAAGAAAAAGAAGAAGAAAAGGGAACCATTGAAAAAGTTAGAAATGAATGATAATGATGATATTGATGAATCATCCCAAAATTATCAATCTTTCCTTTCATTTTCGTTTATTTACAATGAAAATTCGTCAAATTTGTTAAAACAACATAATGTATCAGTGAGTTGAAATTGAATTGAGCTAGAAAGTTAAACTGAGTTGAGTTGAGTCAAAAAGTTAAACTGGGTTGTGTTGAGTCAAAAAGTTAAACTGGGTTGAGTTGAGTCAAAAAGTTAAACTGGGTTGAGTTAAGTTAGAAAGTTAAACTGAATTGAGTTGAGTCAAAAAGTTAAACTGGGTTGAGTTGAGTCAAAAAGTTAAACTGGGTTGAGTTAAGTTAGAAAGTTAAACTGAGTTGAGTTTGAAAATTGAGTTAAAAATTGAGTAAAAGAGTGAGTTAAAATTGAAAAATGAGTTAATAGTGAAAAAATCATTTTTTTCAATTAAAATGTTAAAATGTTGCAAAGGAAGGAATTCTTAAATCGCAATCATTTTCACTCCTTTTTTTTCTTCCGTTTTCATTCATGTTGTTCATAATTTGATCATATCATTATGAAAATTTCCGTAAAGGAAGCAATTTTAATAACTATTATGATAACCAAATTGATCAAATTTAATCTTTAACAGTCATTATTATCAATCGTAATATTAAAGCAAATGTATTAGTGATAAACAAAACTGGAGCAGATGGATGATATGATAAAGTTCCAACTTCGTTAACGGTTAATTGGTTGTAAAAATGGGCTTATCACAAAAATGATGTAATGTGTATATTGAACAATGTTAAGAGTACTATATTATTTAACTGATAACGAAAAAAAATGCAATTTTTAGGAAAACAGAAATATTATATTTATCTAATTATTACCGTGTAATTCGTAGAAACTGAAGCACAGATTCTATTAGCATTTTTCGATGTTACTTTTAGAAGCAACTAGAATCAATGATTTTCACGTAGTTCCACGGATTACACGTAATGATCATTTCGTTTCCTTCGTTCATATCGATAATATTCGATAATTATGAGATTATTTAACGAACAAATATATCATAGCAATTCTTTGACATAATTACTGTCATAACTCTGAAAAAAATTTTTTTTCGAAGAATTGCGGACAAGAAAAAAGACCAAAAAGTTATTTTAAACAGTACTTAAAAAATTATTTTTGTTTTCAAAAAAGTAAAAATTAAAAAAATGTAATAAGAAAAGCTGGAGAGAAGAAAAAATCAAAGTGTTGAAAAGAAAAGCGTTTAATTTTAAAATAAATTTTAGGAAAATTTTTGTTAAATGATTG